ATTATATTACTATTATGCGCGCATAAAAAACATGCCATTAATATAATGAATATAGGATATTGGATAGGATAGGATAATGAACATAGGATATTTTATTTATGCAATATAATTATTTTAAAATTTATTTACAACAATATTTAATACATATACAGACTAAATTATTAATAAATTGCTTTACTATTCTGCAGCAATGGCATCTCGAGCAACATCCAACTTGCCTGTGTTATTCAACGAATTTGGCTGCTCATTTCGAACATATGCCATGGGCTGCTAGCTGGTCTAGCCTTGGCCCATCTGCTCTTTGTGATGAGTAGCCATCCCACGGATTGGGCAAAGGTCATCAATAGCATGGGTCTTGCGGGCGAGACCACAGCAGCAGCAGCAGCAGCAGCAGCAGCAACAACAACAACAACACCAACAGCCCAAATGTCAAAGTTGGGCATAGAACTGACCAATTCTGTTAAGGGAACGGACTCTGGAGCGGGCTCAGCGGCGGGAGCGACGACGTCGACAGCGAATAGCGAAGCCATTGCATTGATTAGCGACTATGCGGGATTTGCTGATATCTATCTGAATACGTTCTATTGTCTGGCCATAATTTGCCTGGTTTCTGTATTCGATCGGTGAGTGAATATGTCAGATATACATACATAATCATATATATAGATTTCGATTTCAATTCTTATCAATCATCACAATTAGTCCATTTGCCAAGTGTCCAGGGCTGGCCTTCGACAGCAGCGCTCTATTTATAGAAAATGAAAGTCAAATTCATTTACTTCGAGTGCTTCTGGGCGGTGAGGTTTGGTGTGCGTGTTAGCCAAGTGCTGTTGCTGTTGTTGGTGTGTGTTTGGGTGCCCCAAGAACACATTGACCTCAAAGCGCACGGGACTGGCCCCAAGGTGGAAACCCTTCAAGCGACCCGCACATTTCATTGAAAAAACATGCACGCACGCACACACACACACTCACACACATACACACACACAAGCCTACACAAATAGAGATGGCTGCCACCTCCTGTCAAGAGCATATGAATAGTAGGCAGGCACTAAATTCTGGGCCAGACCTCGCCTCGCCTCGCCACGCCTCCTCCTCTTTAACTGAAGTGTGACGCGTGGGCGCCTCATGTTGCGTCAATATTGCCACTTGGGCGCTGAAAAGTATGCTATACTTAATTTTGAATTGCAAATTTTCAAGTGCTTCGCTTTGTTTGGTTTCGTGGCTGCTGTCAGCTGTTGTCCGTTGCCTGTTGTCCGTTGTCTGTTGTCCGTTGTCTGCCGTCTGTTGCTGCAATCATTTTTACTATGCTCGCTGCGTAGTCAATTTCATCATCTGCAGAAAACACAAAAAGCACTACATATATATATGTATATATATATATATACATTTTAATGCTCTTAAACTTTGCTCTTTTTGCGCTACCCACACATATATATATATATATACTCGCTCGCTGCACTCTTGACCTTTAAAGTCAGCGAATGCTTGATTATATATATATATATATGTGTGTGTGTATGTGGGTCTGTGGGTGAATTTTTTGGTAGACCGTATATATATATATATATCTGCTTTTGTCTGTTTCGGCTTGGGTTTCTGTTTTCGGTTTTCGTATATATATATATATATGGCTTTGGCTTTGGCTCCACTGTCATTGCCCACTGCCATTCGACTATATATATATATATAAGCTCTCTGGCAGTGAAAGTGTAAAAGTCAGTCTGACATTTCGCCTATATATATATATATACGTGATTTATGTGATGCTGGCGTCTTTTGCAAATGTCATTGGTGTATTGCCTGACTTTGCCTTTTCCATTCCATCGGCATCCTGTGCAGCTTTTGACCTTTTCCGTTATATATATATATATATATGCATACACATAGGAGATTACGCTATTTGCTAGTTCACTTGAGTATATATATATATATATATATATGCCGGAAAACTGAATAAATGCCAGTGGGATATGCTACTGCTGACCCAGTGCAGACATAAGCAAAGTGGACGAGCTTACTGGAGCAGCAGTGGCTTACATTGATAGATATACTGGAGCAGCAGTTGCTTACTTTGATAGATATTTATGTAGTATACTCTGCTTCTCGTTTAAAGTTTTTAGAAAAAAGTCAACTTGAGTGTGGGCAAAGTAGCTTTATAAAGTATATGTGCTGTTAGCTTGGGGCAAGAGCTAAGTTAATCTAGTCATTCGCTTAGTTGATGTTGATGGAAGAGTATGACATTCTGTTTTTCTTTTATTCTAATATGAGTATTATTTAATAACACATTTATTTAAGTATCGTTGGTCTTTTTAGCATTGTTCAGCATATATTAAGTTTGTCGATCATCTATAATTTCTATTGCTATAGGTATATAGCCAATCTAATATATATTTTGATTGCAAAAAAGTGAAATACTTTAGGCAAAAATACCAGAAGTTAGCATTATATAGAATGCCCGAATAATTGAAAGCATTTTAATTTGAATTTGCATTTATTACGGCTTGGGATGTTACATTGATTGCTGATTCATGTGACATTTCATTAATTTTATTAATATAAAACTAAGACTGATTGATTTAAAGATATTTTTATTTATTTGATTAATCTAAAATTATGTATAGTTTAAGAATTAAGCAATGGCAGTTGGGGCTTAACTTGACTTGACTTGACTCGGCTAGTTAAGGACCTATCTTCAAAGCTGGTTGAAAATTGTGGAAGATTTAGTCTTTTCTGCTTTAACTATGAACACATTGTTGCATATTCTTGATGTAGTCTGGAATATTATTATATTAAATTTCTAATAGTGTTTATTTTATAAAAAATATACATATGTATCATAATTATAAATTGATCACCAGGCTGAGTAGGGGAATATCTGCAACATAAAATTATAATTCGATTTTTACTTATATATAATAAATTATATTGATTCATAAATTTAATATTCTTAGCACTGGCTTTCACAATTTGTTTTAAGCACGAGCAATTTTTGCTGTCGTGTTGTTCGCTATTATATATGTACATATACATTTACATATATATTATATAGTCAATTTATAAGCCCTTCAGAGCTGTCGATGCACGCAAAGCATGAGTATTTAAACGAGAATTGATTGTAATCTGACGAAGTTGTTGCTAAGAGCGAGCAAGCAGAAATAGTTGTTAGGCTCTCTGATAGTACTTATGTATATAGCCAAAATATATATTTACTCGTATATAGACATATATTCAATTTAAAGAGCTGTCGAGGCTTGAACCTTTGCATTAATATCACGATAGTTGGTTTTTTTATTTATGCTCGATCTACGATCGCATGATCAAGCCGAAGCTCCGTGGGAACGAACACGAAGGCAAAGATCTCTTCAGTATATAAATCTCTTACAAAGCTAGCCAGCCAGCCAGCCAACTCTTGCTGATCTCTACAGAGTGTATATTCAGAGCTCTGAGAATGTTGCTGTAAAGTGAACAGCTAGACAGTCGTTGCCCGAAGCCAATATGCTCTCTAAAATTCACTCATTAACACTGCAATGAATACCTCCTCCATATACCAACCATATGCACGCAACTAATATGAATTTCTACATTTCAGCATGGACATATGTCGCTGGAGCTTCTCGAATGCCAGCGAGCTAATATCATTCCGATGGCTGATCATCACAATGCTGTACTTCGCAACAATAATCCTAACTATCTGCTCCGACTCCATCGACGAGAAGCTCTATCTGATCAATAATAATGCCAACATAACGCTAACACAACAGGAGTTGGTATGTCTTGGAATTTCCAATTGAATCCGATATCTAATTCTAATTGAATCTCTTATCGCAGCTAAGCAACAGTGTGCAGAGTGTTTGGAGTAGTCTGTCGGTGACGCGAAGCATTGCAGCCATATCGGGCTGGATAATGATAGGCCTGACGCCCCAGGAGGATATGCTGTACGAGCATCTGGTTGATCTAACCAAATATCAGTTGACAAATAATTGAACTTAAGTGCGAAAATATAAACTATTGTGTATATAAATAGTATATATATGAATATATGTATGTAGTGAGAACCTTTAACTAAGTAGTTGCTGTTGTTTAGTAATTGGCTTTTTATATTGTATAACCGAAATGAGTTTGCTAAACACGGCTATTCGAAACAATAATGCATAGAACTTATATACCTAGAACAATTGACGACATCACGAGAAACCCAAAATGAAATTAAGCTTTAAAATATAAATATAAAACAATTGTGAATAAACCATCTGCRATTGCAATTGCAATTGGATGCCCTTCACTGGCCGCTAGAACCGAAGTTTAGTTTGTTAAGTCTATTTGAATTAGTAGAATGCCCGAAATATGGACACCATACTTACTACTAGACGTGGAAGAACTATACCAAGCACTAGCATTATATATGTACATACATATGCATGTATGTATGTATGTATGTGTGTGTATTTATAACGAGGTAGATATATAATATTATGCATTCTTATACACCATATACAAAATATATATATATTAATATGTATTCATAATTTAAGTAAACATATCGACTATAGTGAACAAATTTAATAAATATATAAACGTTGTCATCGTTGTGGCAGTTTAACAAAAGGCTTCTTAGCATTAAGTAAAGTACGTACTACAGTTGGTATCCGCTATATGCAACCAAAAGCAATAAAACTTATCAAACGTAAGCTGATGTACATATATATAGTTTGTTCATTTGTTTAGCATTCGATCTGTTCACTGTGTTATATAGCTTCGTTAATCCAAATAATAAAAACTGAAAATTGAAATTTGTTTCCTTTTTCGTTGTCGATATTTTTGTAAGCTCGAACACCAAGTCAGATTAGTCTGTACATGATTAGATATCGCAGATTTGTGTAGTTCAAATTCATACTCGATGTGTATATAGTTTTATATGTATTTCCGTTACTAGCGATATCCACTGTAGTCAATCCAACGTTTGATAAGTGCAATGAAATTTGTAAAGCGTTAATTACATACATAAAACAAATGTATATAGTATAAGTGAACTATATTTATACATATATGCGACTATTTCAAGTTATATACACATACATATATATAAACGAATTGTATAAAAATGTTCGAATTAATTACTCATTCTATATGAAATATTCAATTTGCGTTCCAACAAGCGAAATTCCTATGTTAATATTTTGTTTGTCAATTTTTCAAGCATCACTGTATTGCTCTCTATATATACAAATATGTATATATTTACTTTTTTTAAATATTATATGAAAACAACAATGATATATATGAATATAGAAAATGGATATGGACAAACGAGCTAATGAAACAAACAAAGCAAACGACAAACAGGCAAATATTTATTGTAAAATTGTATATAAAATATAAATGCAAATAAAAAAAAATTGTAAAAAAAAAAACAAACAGAAATGCAGAAAAAAAAAGAAATAATTTTGTTATTGAACTTAATAGTCAGTTGGGAATTTAAAGAAAGCAATATATGTATTTAGATGGAAAATACCAGCCGATGCGTGTTTAGGAATATTGTTCTTCTTATGGCGCCACAGCTCATTATAATGACATTGATAGTATCGTAGATTGTCATCTAAAGACTGCAACGACACCTGAAAAGGCTCCACTTCGAAACTTGTAGTCTTAGATTAGGCTGTACTTTATAAGTCCAGCCCTGTAATATTAATTTGATATCTTTTTTGACTACTTTCTATTGAGTTTTTTCTTAGTTTTACAATTCTCCTATATCTGACTCTTCCCAATACTAAATATTAATTTTTCTATTCGGTTGCAGCTTCGCATTGCATTCAAAATCAAAATTATATATCAAATATTTCAATATATCAAATATTGTATATCTATTTATCTGTATAAATTATGTATATGTTCAAAAATAGAAAAATTAACGTTAGAAATCGTCAAATATTCTTTTAATTCGAGCTTTGACTTAGGGCTACATCGATTTATTTATTTACCTGTGCTAAGTCAAGTTCTTCTCTTGAAGCTTATATGACGTTGTTTCCATTAACTCATTCGTTATTTCTCTTCCTTCCTCTCTTACTTTTGCTACATGCATACGTCGAATATAATTCAGTTTCTGTACCTATTATCCATTATGCATAAAAAGCGGAATTTCCAAGGCTTTTTCTTTTGTTAAAGGCAATCTCACAGGCAGGAAATATGTGACCTAGTATTTTTGATCCCGAAGGACAGTGGAGTCGATTTAGATTCTATCGTCAGTTTTAATGGCTGTCTTTCATTTTGTGTGATAATATGGCAATGAGGTAGACCAAGGTTACTTGCATATAATCTAATTTCATATATGAAATCTCAGTAATTTGATTAAATTAAGAGATAATTACCCTGAGTTATGTTTATTGCTTCGCAATTTTTATTTGAACAATTTTATGTTCATATACACTGGCAGACAGTTGTCAAATTAGATCAAGAATATATCCTTCAAGGAATATTTATCCTTTATTGCCATTATATATACAGAATATAATAAATATTTATATAACAGAATAAATAATAAACCAACAAAAATTCAAAATGATAAACTCAACTAAATAAAAGTCAAATAATTAGTTGATAATATAAAAAATTAACTGATAAAAATTAAAAAAAAAAAAATAGATAATGAAAATTAAATAATTTATGAAGAATAATATGTACAATAAATACAAATCAACAATATTATTTTGTATGCTCGCATAAATTACTTTATACATGCAAGTATATATGTATTTATATGTATATGTGTAGCTTCCTCAATGGCTGGCATGCTCGAGAGCATTAGTTCTCCTGGTCGCCTTTAGTTGCTTTTGTTGACTCATTATGCTCATTAAGAAATTCAATTAGCGCCTTAATTGCAGCAAGTGCTTAATGATGATAATGCGTTTACCTCGCCAGCCGCAAACTGAGTCCTAGCTCCAGTTCCCCCTTTCCTCAGCTGACCCAACCATTGCTGCAGCCTCCCGCCTCCCCGCCTCCCGCCTCCTGCTAAACGATGACTCTTAGCACTTTGTTGCCAGACATACTTACGCGTATATAGACTCGATTCAACATCATTAACATATTAACTAGATGGACTTAAAAAAAACTTGGCCCGCAGCTGATTGTGCGAAAAAAAGAACAACAGCATAAATAAGGAAAAACAGAAATAATAAAAAAGGTGCCTTGATATATTTAAGCACATATATAATGTAGGGCTTAGAGCTCTGGCCAGCGTCCATCGCTCAGTCTCTGCCTTTTATGCTGATTTATGCATTTCATATAACTTAGACGCTCGTTTTGGCTAACAAGCAAAAAGTTTTGCCTGGCCGCAACTTTTGCCGGCGCATCACAAGAAAAATGTGTTTAAAATGAAAACTGCTCGAGAGTTGTTTATGCAAATTGGATAAATGCCACTTGGCGCACATGTTACACGAGAAATTAGATCGGCAAACTCAATTTTTGGGCTAATTAATATTTTTGCCGTTTGCTGCACAATTTGCATATCAAAAGATTGCGCATACGCCCCATGTGCTGGCCGCCGAGGCGGCGAGGAGCTCGAATTAAATAGAATTAAATAGAAATTAACTTAAGTACAAAGTTAAATATTTAAATTGGAAATCTACACTATGCAGCAAGAGTCAGGGCATCCCATTTTTACAGCTTTGCTTTTGCTTTGCATCCATTTGGCGCCTCATTAAAACTGTTTACGATGCCAAGGACAGAGCTGGGGGACACAGCGGAGTGGGCCCGTCGCTATGATCCCACACGTACTCCAGCGTTTTATTATTGAAGGTATTGCGGGTGAAGTATGCCCCTTAATTGCCAATTTTGGCATTAGATTGTCTTCTTTATTGGTTTGACCCGCTAAATCATATTACACTCTTTGTTTTACAGTATAATAAAATGTTACACTTTTTATGATCAAAAGTCGAATAATGTTTATGTAGAATTCAGTGCTAACAAAAAAGTAATTGCAATGCGTTCGACTCTGCAAAAATAGCAAGAAGTTATAGCAGTTGGTCAAGAATCAGCGGAGTTTCTAGACTAAGATAGTTTTTTTGATTAATGGTTGGGTTGTTTTTTTCGGATAAAATAAATACTTATAAGCATAGGAATGGGTTACGACAAGTCTAAAATAGTTTCCTTTCATTTATGGTTTAGTTATTTTTTGTTTAAGATAAAATATATATATGAATGGGAACATAACAAAAAAGAGTTCCTAGCAAAATACAAAACATAAAATAAAACAAATATAAATAAAAAATAAATAAA